TGCTTGGCTAATTACACACTATCTCCTGCACACACTAAACCCTTACGCATTTTGCGATGCATAAACAAGCATTCAATACGATGTGCAGCCATAATTTTATGCATAACTGTGGTTGTTTTCAATTTGTCCATAATTATGCATCAACATTGCTGCAGTTCAATCTACATGTTTATGCACAGTAAAATGCTTTAAAGGTTAGTGTGCATACAGAAGCATTCAGAAGATAACGCATGCATATCCAATGTACACACTTGCGTCCCCCTACTAGAGTAGGTCCCTCATGTCCCTCAATCAAGAGGTAGATGTAGCACAAAGTAATGTAATCTAACCTGCCAACGTGCTATGAATCTTAGCGAAACAAGTGTGTTCGCGGTGCGTTCCAAACGTTGCATACCCGGTGATTCACGGGTGTCAAGTAACAATGCTTCCTTCTCAATTTGCCTGGTCACATCCAGCAGGGGCCTAACACTGGCGTCAACACTGGCCATATCCAACCTGCGCTATAAAAGACGGTATCAGCACAGCAAATTGCAAAGTGAAAAATTCGTTAATCAGAGCAGAGTTAATTCGATTTCGAACAATTCGCACATCACTGCAAATAGACGGTTCCCGCTCTGCGCGTTTCGAGAAGAAGTAAGGAAATCAGGGCCGGAACCAGTTTGAAAAATCCACTTATTTTTCTTATTTAACAGTACAGTTTCACATAACTGACCCCGAGGAAGTCCATTGATTGTATGAGGGTTCATTTGTACTGGTTTTTACCGTCATTTAAGAACTGTCTCCGGTGACGATTTCCTTAATTTTTCTTGAAATGGGCAAAGCGGGAACCGTCTATTGGTTATTTCAGTGGAGCCCGAAAAGATAGTAAGAACAAGAGGGTAAACACAATGTCTTGTCCTTGTGACCGGCCCTGTGGACCATAAGATGGTAGGGAATACGATAGAAGACTCTCGTTATGCATGTCTTGCTGGCACTCGAAAAAAAACACAGCAGACACAAATCACACACTTTGAAAGTCACAATGATTCGTCACTAATCACAATAAAAGTGTTGTTTTGATGTTGTTGTTTTTGAGTCCAAGCACAATGCGTACACAATGGGAACTCACAACCAACAACACAATCTCGTTTCGTTTCGTGCTCTTTGTAAAATGGTAGTGGAAAGGAATCTTTGATGAAACCATGCAAACTTAATTCTACAAAGTTATTCAATGAAAGTCATTTAAATTGTGCGCATGTCAGTGTCATCTGACCAACAAGCGTATGTCAACAGAAATTCCATCTGACAATTGAGCGTATGTCCAAAATGTGCGCATGTCAGCAAAAATCTAGTCAAATGTGCGTATGCCACTGACATACGTATATTTTGTTAGATGACTTGTGACATACGCATATTTTACCATCGCATCCCAGCCTATTCTATTATGATTTTTCAATTTTTCTCTTCTGCATATGATGCAGGACCTGTTTAAGTACAGTTTAGTGTAAAAAAGTGATTTTTGAAAAATCAGTGACAGACGCACCTCTATCAGATGACAGGTGAAATGATAGTTTAAGGCTCACCATCTGTAGCAAAGAAATGCAGAGGAAGCCTGCAATGAAGTATAATGCAACGGCTGCACGGTCAAAGTCCCCACGACTAATGTTGACGAAAAAACTGGGCACAATCGTCATCTACAATTGATTGGATATTATTACTGAAATGTGTGTTGTCCCATGTGAAATATAGGGGGGGGGGGG